AGGTACTGTCCAGACAGGTTTCCTCCAAGGCCCTAACTGCTCTCTCCCATTTCCTCTGTGGGCAGGGGGCTGTTATGCCTGAATGGCCGCTGACCTCAGACTGCTATAGTCTCTTGCCCCTGCCCACACCTGTGTCAACAGTACTTTATGAACTCCCCGCAATTACACAGATTCTTCCTTCCTGCTGGGGCTCTGCAGGACATACGGCAGATCCCACCTGGGGCTTATGAGACTTCCACAGTACTTGCTGGCCACATCATGGGCCCTAGGCCCCTTGCCAGTCTTTTATTGGGGCAAAGTCTTGAACTGGTTTACTTCCTCAGCTCTGGCCCCAGACCTTTCTCCCCAAGCAAATGCTTGGGAACTTGCTTCTGAGTTACTGAGTCTTCCTGCTTCTTTAGGTTCTTTTTTGTGGTTTCCACATACACCTTTCTGTACTTTCTGGAGAGTTCTTCCTCTCCCTCCCCGCTTCTTCTCAGCTTAAAGCAGGATTTCCTCTTGGGTACTGGAACATGTGGCTACCCTTCTCTGATGTCTCAACAACCTTCGTTGAGCAGTGCAGGTTTTTATGTGTTTAACTACCTTATACCATAACTTAAGCTCTCTGGAAGACAGATTCTATAGAGCCTCAAATCAAACATGCTTCATACCTTCTCTGTGCTCAGAAGTGCATGGAGATGGTTGGATGGTTGATGGACAGATGAACATTGTTGCTTCATTCTGTTGTGCTTAATTGGTGAGACCCCCAAAAGACCACCAGGAGTTGAGTCCATTGCAAAACACAAGAGGATCTTTTTATCATAAGCTAGAGCTTGTGCTCACACCCTCATACCCTATATAGCAGTTGAGAGTAGAGCCCTGTGCTCAGGGTAGGTGGGTGATTTATAGATCCCAGTCCCATCCAGCGGGTCCAAAGCACAGGAATTCCAGCCTGGCAAGCATCTATTGGCTGAAACATTAATGGGGATGTTGCATTTGAACTGATTGCCTGTGGGGAAACCCCGAAACCATTAACAGTCTGGCTTCCCTTGTTTGGCTGTTCTAGGGGAGAGGGGCGATCTGGGCCGGTTTCCTGACAACTATATCTCTAGTGGGCAGGAAAAAAATGCAGTAAGGCTAGTTCCTCCCTGTAGGTGGCTTTAAACTTTAATCCAATAACTGAAAAACTAATTTTTAATTGTTTGGTCTCTCAATGCATTCCTCCTGCTGGAGAGCTTCTCAGCCTGCTAGTGATCTGCTATTGTTTGTGTCACTCTTATTTAGAACTTCATTTGAGTAAATAGCACCTTCAGGATTCTTATTATTATTTTATTTTCAACTCTTTGAGCACAAAAGGGGTTAATAATAACAGTCAATGATAATATGTAAGTATCTGAATTAGCATTCTGAAAAATGTTTTCTTTGATAAATGTGGTCATACTTGGGATTATAAGTACACTAAAAATTTCAATGCATTATTCCATCCCTTCACCTGTTAATACTTAACAAAAAGAACAGATCCAGGTTGGTAGGGAATGCCCTGGCCAAATCATGTTGCTTTGGGTAAAGTTATGTGTTGATTAGAAAGTGGGAAAGTCTTGAATACCCTCTGTGTCTTGTAAACACTATTTATTCATCCTATTTTTCTTTGTTTTGGTTTTCAATAAAACACAATAATATTTAGGGGAAAAAATTTCAACATTTTGCCTATAAAGACACAGTACTATCATATTATACTTGTTTATAAGGAAATTCTATGGGTGAAAAACTATTAAATACATGCCCCATAATATATATTATATACAACTGTAAACAAAAAGACTGCAAGACATGCGTTAGTATCTGGAAAAGAATTCAATGTCTATTTGCCCCCAATCTCCTTCCCTTTTGCCTCCCCTTCCTCTCTCTTCCTCCTTTTTTCTCTTGATTACTTGGCTCATACTAAATTCTCTGATAGTGATTTTGATGACTAAATTTGGTTTCTAACGTTCAGCTTTTTTAAGGTTCTGCTAACATTTCCTTCCTAAAATCCTTCCCATGGACTTTCTGAGATAATTTTCACTAGGCTACAGTGAGTCCTTGGGGTAGCAGCAGATTCCTGACTCCCTTCTCTCTAGGTTCCCAGAATCCATGGTTTCAGGTTGCCCTGCTCTCAGGTTTTGTGGGTATTTGTTCATTCAGTGTGTCTAATGGCTCCTCTCTTTCAGCCATGTTGCCAATGTAGTAAACTCCTGACAAAGAGGTCTTTCAAGTAAGCCATTTGGTTCTACCTTGAGGAGAAATACAATGGCAAATTCTATAGATCCATGTACTTAAGTATTACTTGAAAGACATGAAGAAGAAAATGCACTGTTATTAAAGGGCTTTGCATTAAATCATTTTCATCTGGGAGGGAAGTTGTTGGTTCTGTTTGTTTTGTTGCCTCTTTTTCCTTCTTGGACCTTCTGTTCCTAACCTAGGAACTGGGTTGCCCAGTGTCTAGGTGTTTTCACTGCTGGGTGTGGAGCAGCACAAGAGAAGCAACCACTGTATTTATGAAGAATATTAAGAGTATTATTGCAATAACCATCTAATCCAGATGGTTTCTAATAATAAAACAAAAAGACAGTAGAACTCAAATACCTTTTTCAGTATTGATTGTCAATTAATGTGACTTGAGTTCATGCTTCTCCTGTCTTCTGCCAGTAGTGCTAGGCAGTGTGGAGTTTCTAAGAAGATAGGGCAGCCTCTTTTCACTGAGGTCTCAGATCCCTCCAATGGCCAAGTTTTGTTCTGACTACTTAAGAATATGCACACCAACCAAATGTCACTCCTTATGCGAAATTCATTGTAGTCCTTCCACTACCTAATATATGTGATGTGTACTTTTTATTTTTAGCCTTTATTCTAAGCTATTAGAACAGTCAACTGGAAAATCATTAGACCAGAAATGTCAAACTAGCCTTAATAGGTAGGACTTTTATCAATGGAAGCCATACATTTGATTATCTTATGTTGGACATGCTTTGTCAAGATAGCAAAGAAAGGTTGTGTTGAATAGCTAGGTAGGCACTGTCCATTTTTTAAATTCTAAAGCAATGGAAAAATAAATTTTATTGTTTAAAAAGTGCTTTGAAAATTGGGTATAATTAAATACCAATAAATACTGTCCTACTCTCAATGGTGTTTTCCGTTGACTTCCTGCTAAAACAGATGCTTTCAAAGAAATCCGAAAACAAATCTTACATAGTCGGTAAGAGAAATTAAATTCTTCAACTCAACTTCTCAATCTTTAATGGACCTTCTGATTCTGTGACTATGTGTAACTATTCCATAGTCTACTTTAGTGTATACTTAATCTACTCATTTACCACATTTATAGACTCCTTTACTACTTTCCAGGCACTGTGTTAGCTATCAAGTATTTTAGCAGTAAGCAGAGCAAAGACCCTCCCTCATAAAGCTTTCGGATGAATGAGGCATAAAGGCACTAAATAGGTAAGAACCAACAACCATGCATGGCTGGTGATGTCCGACACAAAGGAAACACTGGGAGCTCTGAGGACAGAAAGATGAAGGCAACTCTTTTGTATTCAGGGAAAGTTTCTCAACAGAAGTACTTTGAGTTGAAATAAGAAATGGCTAGTGTTAACTAGGGGTGAAGGTTATCTCTGTTGTCAACTAGACACACATGTGAAGACAGACCTCAGCTGAGAAATTGCTTCCATTGGATTGACCTGTGAGCGTTCTCTCACTCACTAATTGATTTGGGAGGTCCCTGCCCACTGTGGACCATGGAATGCCTAGGTAGCTGGACCTGGGCTACAGAAGAAAGCTGTCAGAGCAAGCCAGTATTCAGTGGTCCTTGGTAATTTTTGCATCAAGTTCTGGCTGCAGTTCCTGCCCTGCCTTCCTTCAGTGGTGGACTGTAACCTGTAGGAGAAAAATCCTTTCCTCCCCACATTGCTTTCCCTCAGTGTGTTTATTATGGAGAGGGGAGAGCAATGACATGTGCATGCCAGAAAATAAAATAGCAGCTTAGTATTACATCCCTGGAGAAATGTCTTTCATACCACTGAGATGCTTTTTATTGAAAAGAATTAAGTGACTTAAATATACTTTGTTTATGGTTAATTGTAAGTAGTTTATGTGAGTTGGAGCATGAAATTTTGTTTTATTACCTAGGCATGCACTAAAGCAACAACAGAAAGTAAGCTTATGGAATTATTAAATATTCTATGCTAAAATTTCCAATTTGGTCCCTCCCATCTAATCTAAGGAACTGAATGCTATAAACAAAGCAGTTCAGAAGAACAGAAATCTGGGTGTAAGGACGTAAATACCACTAACCAGATGCTCTTATTATGACCTACTTCCTGGGGAAAAAAAAAAAAAACTCACCTCATGGAGGGTAGGTGAAGAAACGGATCCCTACATAGAAGTAATCACTGCTCTTCCACGGGAACCATACCTACATCAGGCATTTCCGATGCCCTCCTCCAGCCTCCATGGACACTGCACTTATCTGTACAAACATATACATTCATAATTAAAAATAAAATCTTAAAAAAAGGAGCAACTCACTGAGGGATTTTAACACTTTCTCATCGATATGCCTGAAATGATCTTTTTAGCACCAAGCAGAAAAATGAAAGCAAATTAAAAAGTTATTCACACTTTCCTTTTTCAAAATTTTTCATTATTTGTTTATTTATTGTTTGTGTATATGTATGTCTATATGGCTGTGTGAGTTTGTGGGTGCTGTGTGCTTATAGGTGTTGTCAGACACCAGAAGAAAGCACTGATCTCCTGGAACCGGAGTTACAGGAGGTTGTGAGCCATAGACGGGTGCTAGGATCCAAACCCAGGCCCTCTGCAAAATCCACAGCGCTCTTCACTACTGAGTAATCTCTCCAGCCCCACACTGGCCATCTTTGAAGTGTGCTCACCAGGATCTGGTTCATTTTACAGTTATGACATTTGACCACTTGCCAAATCAACAGCGGAAAATAAATGCTTGGTCATTCTGCTTCCCTCCACAGTTGTAAATCAAGATGGCCAGCCCCTCATTGAAGGAAAACTTAAAGAGAAACAAGTGAGATGGAAGTTCATCAAGAGGTGGAAAACTCGCTATTTTACATTGGCTGGAAACCAGCTTCTCTTTCAAAAAGGAAAATCTGTGAGTTCTTTTTTTACACTTGAATTGTTTTTCTTTCCTTCACATTCCACCAAAATCCTGTAGATGGCTAGTGTAAAAACACAGTTGTGAGTCTCAGACACCCACAGCCATACTGTCAGCTATCTCACCTTCTGAGGGCCTCAGGCTGAAGCCTGTCTTAACATCTTTATTCCACATAACTCGGCAGGACTGGCTAGTCCTGCATCCTGCGATTCTTTGCCTTGTGGAAGCCATGAATCCCACTTTGGCCTGAGTCAGGGTCTCTAAGAGATTAGGAAAACTCCCCAGGGCACTGAGGATGATGGCAAAGCCCAGCCTTCTGCCTCTGCTCCCCAAGATGCTGACACTGTGAAGGGAGGGGCTGAAACAGGGTCTTAGTATATAGCATTAGCTAGCCTTGAACTTACCCTCTGCCTAGGCCTCCAGAGGTCTAGGATTAGGGTGTGCCACTACACCAGGCACCAGAGTGCCATGGTGGAGATGCTGCTGGAGTTGCTGGTGCTGGTGGTGATAGTTTTGAGAAACAGTCTCAGTATGTAGCCCTGGCTGTCCTGAAACTCAGAGTTCTGCCTCTTTACATTGAACATGCCATTATAGTTTCATTCTGAAAATATCTTTAACATAACACAGATTGCCCGTCCTCTATCTTTTTGTTCTATGGGGAATGGGTGGAGTATATCTTTTTTACCACTGACACAAATGTTGGTCTGTTCTGGAAACATAGAGGCACACTCAGAAACCATGTTTTAATGGTTATTGGGGACCCATTAGCCCAGTCAGGTTGACCCATTTCCTTAACCATCCCATAAACTAAACTATTGCCTTATTAATAAATTAAAGAGGTTAAAGTACTTACAAATTAACAATTCTCTCTGAACAAATGCACCATATTTTTAGAATTCTCACTACATATGTTACTGGAACATTTTTCTCAGTAAGAGAAAATGTAGGATAGGTGTAGGATAGTACACCTGAATTATAATGAATTCTGTGAAAGTATTTCATTAATAAGACCTCTCTTAAAATACTGTTTTCATTTTTTTTAAAAATGTATTTTATGATACTTAAAAGTTGTGTAAATTTCTCCATCTGTGTCATACATAGGTTGCCTTTCTCTGGCTAAAAAGCTTTTTCTATGTGCAAGTATGATAGCATGTTCAATTTAAAGAGTTATTGGACTTTAAAGAAATATTTTTGGCTTAATGTTGAAGCATTTTCTAAGTGTTTGAAATGACCATCTGAACTTCCTACACTTACTCCAGAATTCGGGAATAGACATGAAGATACAGTGTTTCTCAGACACCTCAGTACAAACACAGAACTAGTCTATGAGACTACTTCCAAGTACTCAAATGATGATCTATATACTTCTCACCTAAGTTTTAAACCTTTAGCTGAGTTCTAAACAATAACTCGTTTGACATCTTTATCAGGAGATAACAGTTTGGCATTGTAGAAATCTAACAGAACATGTGTCTCAAACAAAATACCTCTAATCACAAGGACATAATAGCACACCAGGCTAACAGTCCTGCTGAAAATCAGGCACGTCCTCACTAGCTGCCTTTTCTAGAGATGTGTGAAAACTCAAGCTGAAAGACAAACATAAACTATAAGTACATTTTTTACACTCTTGTTGTCTTGATTTCCACAAGCCAGCTAGGCAGCAGTGCTATCTATCTATCTATCTATCTATCTATCTATCTATCTATCTATCTATCTATCTATCTCTATCTTTGTGTGTGTTCCTGTCATTTTGTTAAGATTTATTATATATATATATGTGTGTGTGTGTGTGTGTGTGTGTGTGTGTGTGTGTGTGTGTGTGTGCTCTATCTGCAATTAAACCTGCAGGCCAGAAGAGGACATTAGCTGTCATCACAGATGGTTGTGAGCCACCATGTGGTTGCTGTGGATTGAACTCAGGACCTCTGGAAGAACAGCCAATGCTCTTAACCTCTGAGCCCTCTCTCCAGCCTCCCTATGCCCCTATATTAATTGACCTATTGATCTCCTTACATTTCTACAGGAAATCTCTTTTCTCCATCAGTTATAGTGTATCAATTTCTATGCTATAGACTGGCCTCAACACAATTTATTATCAAGAGATAGTTTTAATATAAACCAAATTAGCTAGCAAAGTATGGAGTGCAGATGTCTTCAAATTTTGTCCTGTGTAGCCCCTAAAAGAAAAAAAAATCTATGTAGTGCCTTGTAACATTTTAAATATCATCAACACATTTATCATGTCTAGACAGTTGTAATTTCTGTTGAGTTATAAATACTGACACTTTAAAATAAAAAGAAGATATTTCCTCTTTAAATATAATTACTAGAATAATAAAAAATACCATAATCCATCAATCTAGTAGCATATATCTTTATAAAAATACATATATTATTATCTTTAGCAGAGATATTTGCATTGCTTCTGTTTCCCTTGAACTTACATTTCTATACTACCTCTCCCTAGCAATGTGTCACAATTGCACTGTGATTTTTAAGATTGATTTTATTTTTAATTATATGTGTTTGTGTATGGATATGTACACATGAGTATAGGTACCCATGGAAGCTACAAGATGCTAATAGACCACCTGGAGGCGGAGCTTCAGAAGATTACAAATGTCCCAAGTGTGGGTACTGGGAACTGAATTCAGGTTTTCAGAAGAGCATTACACGCTCTTATCTTAACCACCGAGCCATCTCTAGTCCCCCCCCCCATCGTTTTTCAACAGAAGGAAATCATGTGCATAAATTGAAACTTAATTGTTTTAACTTCTGTGATCATCAGCTCCTAAGTATTCATTTCTCTGACTGAATTCTCTTTCTTGAGTTATATCATTTATGAATGCATTTAAGTATAATGCCACATTTCATAAATATTAAACAGAAAATGGAAATGCTAGTCCAGGAAGATGGTATAATGGGTAAAGTGCTTGATACATGAGCATAAAGACTTGAACTTGAGTTCTTAGCACCTGCGTAAAAGCCAGACACAGTGACTCCTGTCACTGACTCCACAGCGGGAAGGTAGATCCCAGGGGCGTGACTGGTCCAAAATGGTGAGTTTAAGTCAGTGAGAGACCCTGCCTCAAACAAATAAGCTGGAGAATGATAGAGGAACATCAATCTGATGTTGACCTCTGACTTGCACACACATACACACAAAGGCAGGGGAGGAAGGAGAGGCTGTCTATTAATAAAATTGATGTAGAAATGTTATGAGTCTTGAGTGGTCAATACTTCCCTAGCATCAATATAGTGATTATAGGAGTTTTTTTTTTCAATGTTCCTAAGGTTTTCCAAGCTGGATATACACTCCAGAACATTTATGACAAATAAGAAGAGTGCTTTTTCATTGCAGAAAGGGAGAACATGACTATCTGAGAGAGGTGGAAAAGAACAGTTGGCAAGGTGCCCAACCACAGGTACATTTCCCAATGGACAAAAATTTGTTCATTGCTTATAGACATTTTTCACTGTTCTAAAACCGTTCCTGCTTGCCCAATATGTTGACTCTGATATCACAGAGATCCCTGAAACACAAATGTAACATCACAAAATAATGCTGACAGACAGTGCATGCTTCTAGTACAGAATTCCAAAAGCTACTCAGACACTAGAATCCTGTTTTTCAATATGAGCATACCTTTTCCCAGAAGTACCACAAAGGAAACCCAATACTATGCCTCCTCAACTACTGAAAAATTGAGTTAAAAAACATTCCAAATTTCACTGCCGTCTTTTGCTCATAGTGCTAGTATAAATAGAAGGTGACAGAAAAATAAAGAACCGTAAATTAAATATTTTCCCAATTTCACTTATAATAACTTTCAGTAAACTGGCTATCTTGTGCTGACTTATGGTACTGTAATAGAGGCCAAATTTTTTGGCTTCTGTTGTCCTAATGACTCTGTGCAGTCTTAGCACTCCCAACAGAAGGGTCTTGAGCCGCAGGATTCGAAAGGACCTGGCCCCCTTGGGGAATTCCAAGAGCCAGTGACACAGGCTGCAGCAGGAGCCAGCTCACCGTGTTTCTCTTTCCATTCATTTCAGAAGGATGATCCTGATGACTCCCCAATCGAACTCAGCAAAGTACAGAGCGTGAAAGCTGTGGCCAAGAAACGCCGGGATCGCTCTCTCCCCCGGGCTTTTGAAATCTTCACAGACAATAAGACCTATGTTTTCAAAGCCAAGGATGAGAAGAATGCAGAAGAGTGGCTGCAGTGCATCAGCGTGGCACTGGCCCAGGCAAAAGAGAGGGAAAGTAGAGAAGTGACCACATATCTGTAGGGACACAGAAACCGCCTCTTGTGACCACGCATAATAGGCCTTGCCAGTGTCAACAGAAAGAGAAGTCCACCAGTGTATTACTGGGTTTCACTGAATACCAGTGAAACCATTATCCCTAGGGAGGGCCTAAAATGGCAGGATTCTCAGTAACTACCACGCCCTCACATCTCATGTATTAGCTCCAAGGTTTCTGCCTGAAGTACATGAGGGGAAAAAGCCACAGAGTTTATGCTGGAGCATGTGGGCCAGGGAAGGAAAGTTATGTAGATGAGAGATAGATGAGACGGATATAGATGACATAGATATAGCTAGATATGAGATGGAGGTAGAGATAGATATAGAAACTTCTGTAGCTATGTGATTTATGACTGTCACCAGCAAAAAGGCTCAGCAGGTGAAAGGCACTTGCTGGCCAGCCTGATGGCCTGAGTTCTAGCCCCATAAATGACTTAGTGGAAGAAGAGAATCAACTCCGGGCAGTTGTCCTCTGCTCTCTGCAGACCATGCTGCATCCATGCCCCCAGTAAATAACTGAGTAAACGGAATTCTAAGAACAGATGCCTGAAAGATCTACCTTGAAGGAAAACTAGCACATTAAGAACATAGTGTTAAAAAGCTATTAGGAAAAGGTGAACACTGAAGAAAACTTTAGAATATCAGTTACCTTTCTGTTGCTGTGACAAAACATTTGGACAAAAGTAACTTGGAGGAGAGAGGATTTGTTTCGGTTTATGGTTCCCGGGAGATAGCGTCCACCGAGGCAGGGAATATGTGGCAGCAGGCAGAACAATGGCGGCAGGAACAGGAAGCTGGCTGACTTTCGTTCACACAGGGGAAGCAGAGAGAGTGGGAAGGAGGGTAAGGCTATGAAACCACAAAGCTCGTCTTCACTGATGTACTTCCTCTACCAAGGCTCCACCTCCTAAAGGGTTCCATTACTCCCCAAAAGAGCTCTACCAACTGGGGACCAAATGTTCAAATATGTGAGCCGGTGGCTTATTTACTGTTTAAATGACCACACTTGTATCTATCTTCTCAACACGGAAGATGCTAATACGTGGTACAGTGATTCTTAATCCAGTTACGTAATCAAGTGTAGGCTTTCATTAGAGCATAAATATTAATTTTTAGACACATGGTTCTATCCAAGGCAGTAAGTAGAGATAGGTTAAGAATAGAAAGACACCTTTTCTTCTTTTTTTAATGGGCATCACCACCCTTAAACTTGAAGGTTTTAGCTAAAATTCTGTGGTTTTTCTCCTCTGAATCAAGCCTTGCATTGCCCAAATTATAAACATTTTATTGGTTTTTTTTCCATTACCCGTATATAATTTTGAATTAAGCTGTCATGGGCAGCTTAGGTGGCTTCCAGTGACCCATTCCCTGCAATAATGTTCCACCCCTTGGGGGATGGAGTGCGAGACCTGAAGCTTGCTTCTAATTTACATACTATGGCAAAAGTGATAGGTCAGTCTTTTTTACAGCTGTGTTACATTACAGCAGATATTTAAAAATTAACAGATGAATTACGGTCCCCCGATGTCTTCAATAAAATGATATATCCTGAATAGCCAGGTTATTTGGCTAAGCTGTTTAGAAGAGGCTGATCATACCAGACTCTCCTGATGAGAGTCTGAATAAGCTACCACAGTGCTACAGCTGAAAGACAATGACCCTTGCCAACAACCCTGTGACCTTGAAACAATAGTGAGCCTCTCAGGATCTAACCTGCCTTTGCTTAAACATTGCCCAGCCACCACGTTGGTGGCAGTCGTGACATGCTCTGATCAGAGGACCGGACAAGATGAACTCCTGTCCCACAGAAACTATGCAATAATAAATGTACCCTGCTTTAAATGCAAACCATGTGGTGATTTGTTATGCACTGATTAATTCATATAAATCCTCCTGCTGATATATCAAAGATAACTTTTTTCCTGTGAAACTGATTTATTATGTATTTTAGTATAGAAGCCTGGAAAAAAGACTTAAAGTTGTCACTACGCTGACACTACTGTTAACTCACTGGCGTACGAAAACTAAAAGGGGTCATACTTGAGCAAAGAAATTTAATTCAATTTAACATGTAAAGTTTGAAGGTATTATGAGCCACAGAAGTTATTACACATTGGAAATAGAGTTCAAGAGGCCGAATTTTGGGTCCAGTGCATATGCAGGTAATTGTGAAAGACATGGAATTGGCTGAAATCACTGAGGAAGAATAAGAAATGAAAGAATTGATGCTGACTGCTTGGGATACCGATATTTAGGCAAAGGCGGGTTAGATTAGCTGATCAGTATTCAGAGATGGTGTAATCCAGGAGACGCGATGTTACAAAAGCTAAATTAAGAAGGATTTTTGGGATGTCAACAAGTTGAAATCCTGAAGATAAAGCTTGATTTTCATAATTAGGAAGCAATCGGTGTCACTGGCAAGAACAGTTTTGTTGGAACCACGGAGTACAAGCTAACTTTCAATGTATTGCAGTAACTGACTGTCATATTTTAATTTTTTTAAGGGTGAGGTTAAGGTGAAAGAGCAAGGATAGATAAATGACTTCTTATTTTGTTTTTAGGTGCAGTCATCTTAAGAGGGAAAACATTTAAATATGTATAGACAAGGAAAGACAAGGGCAAAGTTACTAGATGTGACAGAGAATAATTTTTCAAGTTCTGTATCTAGGGACCAGGGAAATGTTTCAGTCATGAAAGAACTTGCCTGTAGACAGAAACCCCTGACATATATGAAAGCCCAGCCTGGCTTTGGGGACCTGAAACCCTGCACTGGGAGTTAAAGCCAAGTGGACCCCGAGCACTCCTTAGCCTAGCCAGTCCAGCTGAAATGGTAGACCTCTGGCTCAGTGAGGAACCCTGTACAGTGCTTGGGAAGATAATGACTCCCATAGGTTTATATGTTTGACTATTCGATCCCCAGTTGGTGAAACTATTTGGGAAGGATTAAAAGGTACAGCCTTGTTGGAGGTGGTGTGTCATTGGTGGGTGGGCTTTGAGGGTTCAAAAACCCATGACATTTCAAGTTAGCCACCACCACCCGGCCCCAAGATCGTTGTTGTCACAAGAAGATTGCTGTCACAACCTGTGAGATCTCAACTACCGCCCCAGGACCATGTCTGCCTACTGCCATGCTCCCTACCCTGATAGAAATCTACTCACCCTCTGAAACTGTAAGCCCCCAATAAACCTGTTCTTCCATAGTTGCCTTCGCCTTGGTGTTCCGTCACAGCGATACTGAAGTCAGAACCTGCCTCCAGGCAAAAAGGCAGAAAGCCACAGAGGAAGGAAGCTGATAATCTGCTCTGACCTCCGCATACATGCGTACTCACATACTCGCATACATGTACCATACAGACACACACTCATGCACGCACACACACACACACACATGCTTCTGTGCTCGCACAGCCATGCATACATGCACATATGCAATCTGTAACGGTAGCAATTTACTGAATACCTGCTAAGCAACAGGAAGCATTTCTAGCACGGAAATTCCAAAGTAAAAAGACAACCTCTCTTTTTCTCCCCGCACTCAACCTGATTTTTATTGAAAGCAGAAGCACACACACAGAGTAAAGCACATGAAGAGACTGACCCCATTGGAGGAGTCCATAGGTTTTTGGAGGGAATTGGTTTTTTGGGATGTATTTAAGGTCAATTACACCAGGGAAACAAACAAACAGTAAAACACCTGTTTCTTTGTCCAAGAAGTTAACATCTATTGAAGGAGACAGACACATACAACAAAGGTCCCAGTGCCTTATGTCTAGTGTCTCAATGAAACATGCACACAGTCTCATGGAAACGGGGTAGAAGGCCCATTTCCACAAGTCACTGTTTCCCTGAGGCACTATAGAGTAAGCTAGGCTTCATGAACTAACCGTAGTGATACTGATAAACAAAGAACGAAGTGGCCCGCCAATGTAAAAGGGCAAGCAATGTATTCCTGAAATGGCAAGCTTTTAAGATGGTGTAGCGCCATTTGCAAGGTTTCGTTAAGCAGGTCCACATTAGAAAGCCAACCTTACGGTACGACGGTTAATGGAATATGTACCAAAAGTTGTAGCAAAGTCAGATGGACATGGCAGCCGAGTGGCAGAGTGCTTGCGTAAAGTCCTAGGTTCAATCTCTCAAACTGAAAGGGAAAAAAAAAAAAAAAGCAGTTGGAAGGCTCCTCTAAGATAAAGACTGGACTGATGCAGACACGACAGAGAAAAATGATGCAGTTGTTTGGATACAGTTTGTGTGTTGCCCTCAAGAGTTCACAGAGGAATCTGGTTCTCAGATGAAGATGTTGGGAGTTAGTAAGGCCTAGTGAGGAGAAATTAGGTCACAGAGGGAACTGCCCCCTCAAGAGATTAATGTAGAGGAACCCTGGTTAGCTCTGGAGAGAGGACCGTTAAAAACAAAGCACTCCCCACCCTTCCCCAACTGCACTGGCTCCTGATTGGTCAGGTGATCGCTCCTTCTTGCACATGCTCTCATCATTCTGGTGGCATGTGCCACGATGCCTCTTCCGAGTCCAACCCAGGCCAGCGTCATGACCTTGACCCTAACAGCTACTATTTAAAGTCACCACGCTTCTTTAGAAAAACACAAATATACATACATATATATATATATATATATATATATATATATATATATATATATATA